ACTTGGGGTGCTTGTGTGGACTATAAGTGAGATTTTGGGTGTTAGTGTTGAAGGGGGTCATTTTTTGGTCTTTGTTGACGGTTTATTTTTTCTAGGAGTCGGACAAAGTGGGTGTTAGTGGGTGTTTGTGCACATAACTCTCCAAGTTGTGGGTGTTAGTGAAGATGACCCATATGCGTTTTTACAAAGTTGGGTGTTTGTGGTGTTAGCATAAATTAGTAATACCCAAAATATAGTATTTTCAAAAAAAAATTATCAGTTGCTCTTGAATATATTATCTTGAAATATTTTTCATCTCTTCTACTAAAATTCATAATTTTGATAATACGATAAAGTAAAAAAAATGAAACAAGAGAAAAATTTCAAAATATCACAATATTTCAATAATGAAACTACAAATAGATAGAAATGCATGTTAATTTCTTCTCTTGTGATCTTCATTGGAATACAAATAAAAGAATATCTTTCTCTTTTATTAGTATCTTACACACACATATTTTTCTCTCAAATTTAATCTGATTTTTTTTTCTTTTTCTTACTTTTAATAAAAAATACGAACTATGTAACACATTTTTTGAATAAATGGAACAATAGATAATTGTTATATGCTTCTTATTATATGATGTTGTGCACTGTCCGTGTCTCTGTTTGTTTTTCTTTTTTTTTGCTCTTTCTGCTTCATTCACATCAAACTATACAATTATATGTCAATAGTTTTTATCAGTTGTTAGCCTCTTGAAATGATATTAAATAGATGAAAAGAGAGAGAGCGAGAACAGCTAAAAAAATTTTATTTCAAATATATAAAGAGAAATATGATAGAAATGATTAATTTCATGTGATATATCAATGTTTAGAATAAACACTATCATCAGACAACAACAACACTACTAATATAAATAATAATAAATGTATAGTATAGACATATTGAATATGTATAAGAAGAATTTCATTGTTCATTATTTGAAGAATAATGAAATAACTTCATAAAATATTCATTGAATTGCTGCATATCTAATATTAACAATTGTCCATTTCATCATTTCTTCTTCAAAACAATAAACTATATATCAAAGAAAAAAAATGGAGCTAATCTTCAATCAAATTAAGACAACAAAGTCAAAATCTATATAACTCACGAAAAAAATCTTCTAGACTATAATTCAAGGGGGGAAAAGCGAATCAAACATTTCCAGACATTCTCATTCATTCCCAACTATTTCCATCATCAATTTCCATCTATTTTCAGGTATTTCTATTCATTCCTAATTCTTATTCATTCTTATGTATTCGTAGTTTTCATAAATCATCTTAGTGATATGTTGAAATTGAGTTTACTTTTCAAATTGTCAGTTTAATGTTATATAGAGTTAGAAAACTTTGAAACTCGTTCCTTGCGCTATACATCTACGGATAGGACGTGTTCTCTATCTTCTCGTATCTATCATATACATATATAAAAATATACATATTTTCTATTATCACGTGATTCATCAATCAACCTAATCTATATTATTTTTTTAATATTTGGTTGGCAATTTGAAATTATCCACGGCCTTACTGGCATGCTTGATAGCATGCTGAATGTAGGTTTATCCCATTCTGTCGACCATTCGACATCTCAACAGCACATCAACAACAATACTGTTCAAAATCAAGGTTCAGTTAGTTCATCCACTACACATTCGACTTCTTGCACCAACCAACCACTGTTATTATCACACTGTATTCCCGTTCCTAGCACTGATAGTGTTAGTACAGATCAGTCTAGTTCATCGTATATCAATAACACCACCATTCATGGCCCAATGTTCAACCATCCATGCTATACCACCAACTGCCATCATCATGCAACATTGAATTTTCATTCATATCATCAATGTACAGCGACATCTAATGATCCTCACCATTCGACAAGTAATATGAATCAGTCTCAAGTGAATCATCAACAACATCAAAATGGTCCACGGAAATGAACCAAACATGTGAATCAAAATGGTCCACGGAAGTGAACCAAACATGTGAACCAAAATCTATAGGCTTACTTCTGTTAGAAGTTATAAGCCAATCAGAGAAAAAGTCCATATTTTACGGCGGTCCAAAATATCTTTTTCGTTTCTCGATTCAATACGGATGCAATAGTACAGCATATAAACTGTAATAGGAACACTATTGATTGACTTTTTTATTTTTAGTTTTTCATATTCTGTATTCTAATTTTTTTAAAAATATAAAAATCAAAATGACAACGAAAAATAATATTTTCAATAATACATTAATAACAATTTTAGTTCTGCTGATTGCATTCCTACCGTATCTTTGAATAACTGTCAAACAACAAATATATCATAAGAAATTACAAAACCGCATTATCAGAAATCGTGTTCATCTTGCTACAATATCATCATTATTGATTTTGAAATTATTAACTATTATTGACTAGAAAACAATTATATCTAATTCTCAGTTGCTAAGAAAACTACGATCGATTATCGTATGCTGTTAGCCGAAAAAACTTGTAAAATAATAGCGAGACTTTAGGGAAAACATACGCTTAGAATGTTTGATTTGCCTCTACTGAAACCTTGATTAGAACGTTTCTCTTTTTATATCGGAAACTAGTATTTAATGACGAGCTTTGCATGAATATCGAACCTTTTTATACTTTTAATATATCGTTTAATACTTGATAATTCAGGTCTATCTTTTTCAAAAGCTTTATTTTCTTTCTTACAAAAAAGAATAGTTTCTATTAACCTAAATTAACGTGTTATTGATCTGGGCATGATATAAAAAAAACTCAAGGATAAAAAATTTCTGAAATAATTTTTTTTCTAAAATGTTCTTTTTAACTGGAGATTTTCACGCTTTAGAAAGAGTGTCAATCGATGTCATTTTTTATCAATGATAATCCATTTGATGAAGCCTCAATTTTTTTGTTGAATTTAATATTTCAAAGGTTGTTTAGTAATAACTGTCTCTTTATCGCACAAAAATGAACACATTTAGTTCATAAAAACTTTTCTGCTTTCAATCTAACAAAGAGATACTGAAAAATTTCGACGTTCAAATATTCAGCAAAAGCGCTCATATGTACTATACTCCCCTATATTTTTGTATTTACTATACACTACAATTTTATGGCGAAATCATAGGTGAATCAAAACGATCAACTCAAAATGCTCATAAGTCAAAAATGTGTAAGATCAAGACTATCATAAAGAGTGTTCCATAAGTAACGATCCATTTTTTGTTTTCTTTCTATCTTTGTCGTAGTCAGCCGTAAATAGATATTCAATATAGGATTCTTAAAGAGCGTCATCTAAGCTATCAATCAAAAAAAAATTGTATGAAGTTTGCATGAACACTAAGAGAGACTACATCGATAAAAATTTTGAAAAAATTTTGTCAAATGCATTTTTTAGTTTATCTCTATAAAGAATAACCTTCGCAGTATTTTGTGAATATCTCTCTTATTTTTGTGATGGTTCGACTTAAATTTTTTTTAAAGATAGTCTGTGAAATACTCTACAAAATCCAATAAAAGATACCTCTTCAAAATGATAGTTCAGAATGACATGAAACATATTTCTTTCGGAAATGAGAAAGAATTAGTTTTGTAAAAAAAGGTCTCTGTGAAAGTGGGTCTTTTTGGAGTGTGGCACTGCTGATCAGATATGGTTTTCTAGTTATTGTTTTGAAGAGGTATCTTTTATTGAATTTTGTAGAGTATTTCACAGGCTATCTTTTAAAAAAAATTTAAGTCAGACCATCACAAAAATAAGAGAGATATTCACAAAATACTGCGAAGGTTATTCTTTATAGAGATAAACTAAAAAATGCATTTGACAAAATTTTTTCAAAATTTTTATCGATGTAGTCTCTCTTAGTGTTCATGTGAATTTCATACAATGTTTTTTGTATTAATAGCTTAGATAACGCTCTTTAAAAATTCTATATTGAATATCTATTTACGGCTGACTACGACAAAGATAGAAAGAAAACAAAAAGGGGGGTCGTTACTTATGGAACACCCTTTAGGTAAAAGTTTCTTCAAATAAATTAAAAGAGGACTTTGTTCCATCATTTATCAATACGATAAAATCTTTTCGCTATGAATACAATCAAGATTTTTTACACATATTTATCATAATATGTCAAATCGAGAGAGATGAATTAATCGTTTTCAGGTAAAAAGCAAAATGTTAGAGAAAACAATTCTACAGTAACTCAGCAGTAATTAGAGGTCTTACTTTATTGCTTTTTGCTTCCTGATTTTGATGAATTTTATTTAGAAGATTAGCAGAACATGATATTAAGTTTTCAAAAAGTTCTCGAAAGATGCCTGTCTTTCTTTCAAAAAAGTGTGAACAATGATCAGTTTTGAATTCAATTGACTGATAACTAATCGAGAAACAATAAAAAATCAAAATAACCAAAGAAAAAAATTACTTTAAACTTAAACGAAACTCAATTCGACCACAAACGACATCTTTCAAAAGCACTCTCACATTATTGGTCTACACGGGTGAAACATGGAGTCTGGAATGAAGTTTGATTCACGTCGAGTTTGGTTCACTTCTGACGACCATCAAAATAATCAAAATGTTACACCAATGGAAAGTGAAAATGATAATGGTTTTATATTAGTTAAACGGAATAAGAAAAAGAAAAAAATTGATCTTCCACAAAACCAACAACCTTCATCTTCATCTTCATCTTCATCATGTTCTTCATCACCAACAATTTCAACAAATGGATCCACTTCTTCAACAAACACCAACAGCATTATTAGTTATGTTCAACCGACAAGTGCTATTGCTGTTCATTTACAACCAAATTCACGTGAAGTTAATGCACCTGTTTCAATTATTAATACAGTTAGTATTGAAATATCACACCAAGCACGACAGTACGCGGAAACGTGTTACGCCTTTCCGCCATTCATCATCAAATTCCAACAAGACATTAATGAAAGTTCAATATTAAAGTATTTAATATCTCATTATTCTTACAACTATAATTTCAAATTGAATTTCGCTGGTCATCGATTAAAATTTAAACGTAATCTATTATTATTTGTTAATGATCGTGAATCGTTTTCTATGCTTTATGATGCATCAAAATGGCCGTCGACTATCGATTCACTCAATTTTGAAAAAGTTTTACCTAGTCATCTACCACCTCAATTTTCATTAGTTCTTAAAAATGTTCCATTTGATACAGAAATTGATACATTATTAACAAACATTAAATCTATTTACCCGAATGTAATTAATGCTCATCGAATTCTTAATAAAAATCAACAACCTACCACATTAGTTAGACTTGACATTAACAATATAAACGTTATTGATGAACTTTTTGGTAAGAAATTTCTTTCTACTGATAATTTAAGACTTGGAGTGATGGAATATTTGGCACCACCTAAGGTGTTGATATGTAGCAAATGCTACCAAATTGGACATTTCAGAAGTACCTGTAAAAGCACCTTAGAAATTTGTAAAATATGCGGATTTAGTAGTAAAGATCTAAATCAGCATAAAGAAATATGTGAAAAAAAACAATGTTGTATTAGATGTAAAGGTCCACATGATTCAAACGATATACGTTGCCCTGATGTCAAAACATACAGGGCCGCACTCACAAAATCTCTTTCAACTCAACCAAACATGATGAATCATCAACAAAATAACCAAACAAAATTCCATTATAAAGATCAAGATTATCCATTATTAAATATGAATTGCAACAACAAGAATTATAAGATTAACAATTTATTAAACAATCCAAGCAATCGAATTGATGAACTTCACCACAAGTTGAACAATTTAGAAGTGAATTTGAATCGTCTATTAGATTTAAGTAACAACTATGCTGATCAATTTACTCGTACACAACAAATAATTATGAATCACAATCGTGATATACAATTGCAACAAATCGACGGTGCATTTCAACGTGATTTCGTAAGTCAATTTATCTCTCCAATTTGTCAAGTAATGGTAGAAGTGATCCCGGTCTTAGTCAAACAAAATGTTCTGAATGACAAAACCTTACTTTGTCCTTCGTTATTAGCACTATATGCTAAGTTAGCGAATGATCTTCCGGTGTGGACAAATAAATACTTACAAAACGAAGATACAAAATTAAAACTCATCAACGAGTTTAACCCGAACAATCAACATCCGTCGGTTGGTTTCATCAGCAACAATCCACATCAACCACTCTCCAATCAACAACTCCAACAATAACTTCCTACAATCTGTCCCCTTTTGCTGAAGTATTTACCCCAACAACAGTGAAAAAGAAAAGCTTCAATGTTGAATATGCACTTTCCTGTTCTTCTCAATACCTATCTGCTTTTGACTTTAGTTTATTATCCGATATTGTTAATGAGTGGTTTTCTCTACCTACTCTCTCTGCTTGTTGTTCTCACTGGAAAACCTTCAGTAATGCTTGTACTTATTCGCTGTCTCCTCAATTTCAGATTCTTCTTTTCAATGTAAGAGGACTAAAAGGAAGGTGGGAAGAAGTCTTACTATTAGCTGAGAAATACCAAGTAGACTGCATTATCTTAACCGAAATAGGAGCAATCGAACAAACACAAATAAAACAGATTTTCGTCAATTTTAAGTTTTTCTACCAAAAAGGGGAAAATTCGTGGGGAGGCGTCCTGATGTTGTTTAGACTGAGTATACCAATAGTACACATAAAATCCGATATTCCTAATGTATGTGTTGTTGAAGTTAAACTTGAAAGAACAATACGTATAATCGGTGTTTATGCTCCGAAGAGTAAAACATGGGAATGGGACCACCTTTCTCGATACATCACCGACGAATGTTGTATATTCGGAGATTTTAACATCGATCTAGAGAGTAAGGCTGATGAGAGATTTGCTAAAAGTTTATTGGATTGGTCTGGAGCACTAGCACTTGCTCCAGTTGTGCACAACTCCCCCACATCCCTTCGATCCGATAGGATTATTGACTATGGATTCACACGTAGTATCCCGCTTACGATTCAAACTTGTGTTGATAACACTACCAGTGATCATAAACCGATCCCGGGAGTACTAAATTGTGAAAGCAAGAAAAATGCATTAGGTAGTGATACACACTGGAAAGTCTTTCACTATTTTCTCGCAATGACCTCAGAATTTTGGGAGCATGAAAGTAAGCTCTGCTCGACCAATGAGTATTATAAGAACTTTGTCACTCCACTGGATTGCCTAAAAACTCGATGTACAAGCTTTTTTCCGATAAATAA